CAAAGCATATATTCAAAGCAAAAATCACATCAAACATAGATTTATAAATTTAAAAAGTCTTAATCATTAATATATGAATGAACTAGGCAAACAGTGTGAACTTATATAATATAATCTATAGAATATCTGATTCATTAGATTTGAATAGACCTTTTAGAATCTAAATTTAGGGAAACATTGTGTTATTAATAATAACTGATCATGATCAGAATTATGAAGTGTCAATTTAGCAAGGAGTCAATTACTTTAAACTTTTGCCATTCCTTGTCTCGACTCATCTTATCTTTATTGCCATCTTTCTTAGGACCCGGCGGTCCACTCTTGTTGTCATTAATGGTTTGTTTGAGGAAACTGACCCTGGACACCGCCACATTTTGGCCCGTTTTCTAAATCATAATCAAATAAATAATATTTTTGATACAATTTAGACATTGATTTCTATCCACTCAACAGTATTTTCGATGTCTTTAGGATTAAGGAGTCCCTGATGTGTAATAACAGTGAATAAAGTGAATAGAAATACATAAAACAAAATATATTTCATTTTATTGTATTCCGTGTGAATTATCAATACAATTGTAATTTGGTGGACATATTTATTAATTATTTTAATTTCATTTTAAAACATCTGTTTATTTTATAATTTTCAAAATTAAATGGCTAAATAAATTTAAAGTTATAAATTATGAATTATAAAAATAATGTTACTTATTTCAATATAATGTAAATTTCAATAAATCTTAAAAATACTAATGTGTTTTAGAGTTACTTAAGTATAATTTGTTTAATTGGTAAAAGTTCTCGATTTTATTATTGATTAATTATTATATAAAATTATTAATATAATATAATTATATAGTTTTTATTTTAAAAATGTGTTCACAGTTGGCGTCACTGTACAGTACAAGCACTACTGTATTATATTAGAAATACATAACTCCGTTAAGAAAAGTTTTTCAAACTTATTCAGTACAGTATATGATAATTAATTATTAAAAAATTGTCAAAAATTCTATTTTAACAAAACTTTTATTTATTGAAATTTGTTACAAAAAATTAATATAAAATAATAGTTTAATATACGGTGGGGTAGACGTGTGGATAGGAGGCCAGTGTGGAAATGGCGCACTGGTTCTTATTATTACGGCTCATCCGGATATAGCCCTCCTCACCAAATACCGTTCCCCACGAGTTCTTCACAATCCAATAGTCTTTACCGGTTTTGGTGTCCGTGCCGTAGCCGACGGCCAAAACGCAATGATTTATATAATCAAAGTTTGGGGAACAGGTCTTGTCGTCAAACACACCGCCAGAATAGGACATGAAATTACCCGACGCTTCGATGCACACAGAGATGGGACCGATGTTTGCGACGGACTCCTGAAGGACTGACTCGTTTCCGGGCGTCAGTATCGCGAAGGCCGTCGCTCTGGCGCCGATCGACGAGACCGAGAAATTACACTTTTGGTCGACCCCTTTGTACGGATAGCCCTTTTCAGTGTCCAGACCCTTTCATTCAAGTAATGTAGCTAGTATAACTCATTGCTATACACCAACAATTTTATTGACATACCTGCGCCACTCTAACGATATACTCGTAGGCGTCGTAAGGCCAGCCCCCATCGCACCCGAAATTACCCTCATCTCGGGTACAGTCAACCAGATTTTGTTCGGACAGAGAGACCAGTTTTCCGGTTCCCTTCGCGTGTTGACCCTCCAGAGCGCCGACAACCGAGAAGGCCCAACACGAGCCGCACCCGCCCTGGTCTTTGACGGGCGTAACGATGCCTTTCTTACGCCAGTCGACGGCAGTGGGCAGGGGTTGGCTCAGTCGGGGCACGTGTTTGCGTAATGACTCGTACTGTGACTTTTTAAGGCCTCCGTAACCCATGGATGTTGCCCTCACTTCTGACAAAGTCTGCAATGGAGTGTTGGTTTAGGTATAAGTTAATAGACTATTGGCTTGTATTCACACCATATCCGTGAACTGATTGATTCCCTTATAGTAGGACTCCTTCCCATCCATGAATCTCTGGTTATGTCTGAGTATTTCATTCTTGGTATTTCTGTACTCATTGTAATGCGAGTCCTCTTCGGCACCAGTTTTGTAATTTTTATTAAATTGTTTCTAAAGAAATGTTATATCATATGTAGTTTAGTAGAGAATTTGATTATAGAATTTAATTTACTAAAATAGATTCACAAATATATTCACAAAGTTATACCTTATATGCTTCCCATTCCTTGTCAACGATAGCATTACTCAATGAAAGCACAAAACACATAAGTATTAAAAACTTCATTTTACTTTTATTTATATTTTCAGATGATAATTAACTGATTTTGATATTTTGTTATATCGTATAACTTATTACTGAAATTAATAAAAATCAATGAATATACATTGTATTTATAGTAAATATATGACAAAGAACTGATAGATTGTTTGTTTATATTATGGCAGATGTTGGTTATTGCAGACTTGGCTGTTAATATCTATTGTCTAATTGATCACAAACTTAAGACCCAAAGTTTTTTTATATCATTTATCTGTCTTATGATTGATTAGACGTGTCTTTATCTATGAACTGTCAGACAAAAACTAATGTCAAACATAATACTCTCTTTATGATGATTTTGTTTATTACTAATATTAAACTATATGTTTCTTATTGATGAATGATCTAGATTTATTTTTCTAAAAGTTATAAATAATTATTTAGTTAACTATGAGCGAAAGTTATGAAATGAATCAAGGACATCTATAGGAAGTTTCTATAATTTATTATCGGTCAAATCGGTATTAACCATAATGTTGAATGACATTTTAAACTTGGTAAGGTGCTAAACAAATAAATAGATAACTGGCATAGAATGAGATTATTAAGTTTCTGTTAAGTACTGTACAATTGCTATGTATTACACATTGCTTGTGTAATAAACAAGTTCATTAAATAGTTCAACTAATCAAGTTCAGGTTAATTGACTTTTCATAGATTAATTAAGCACTATATGGCACAGGTTATAGGGTCATGAACTTTATGTTTGTTTTGATTACACTAGATACAGGTTTAATATAGATTTAATTTACAAGAATCAAATGATAGTAAAAATAGTACAATTGACTGTACAGTATACAAATAAAGAAATCTATTTGGCATTAAATCGGAATGTCCTTTTTTAACTGTTACCAAATATTTTTGAACTACTATAGTCTATAGAATCTATAGTATAGATGTATTCTATAATTAGAGGTTATATAGAATATGGCGAAACAAAATTCCACTCGAATCGGGATATTCTGTAAAATCCAATTCTTATTTACAAAACAGTTATTCTTGTATATTTTAAATAATAAATGCGATAAATATATTACTAATTTTTAATTTAAATCTATTGATAGTCATTGATTTATGTTCTTATGTGAAATATTTAATGTTTTAAGTTTAAACTTTGTTACTAATATTACCATCAATAATATTCATTTTATATTGCTTTTTTAATACAAGTAATATTAGGCACTGTTAAACTTATAATCAACTATTTTAAATAATATAAGAATTTTTGTGTTAAATACAGTATATACCATTTACAATATGATTTATACATTCACAGACAGGCGTTAGTGGTTTTAAATAAAAATTGATTCATGTGTTATTCTNCGACAACCGAGAAGGCCCAACACGAGCCGCACCCGCCCTGGTCTTTGACGGGCGTAACGATGCCTTTCTTACGCCAGTCGACGGCAGTGGGCAGGGCTTGGCTCAGTCGGGGCACGTGTTTGCGTAATGACTCGTACTGTGACTTTTTAAGGCCTCCGTAACCCATGGATGTTGCCCTCACTTCTGACAAAGTCTGCAATGGAGTGTTGGTTTAGGTATAAGTTAATAGACTATTGGCTTGTATTCACACCATATCCGTGAACTGATTGATTCCCTTATAGTAGGACTCCTTCCCATCCATGAATCTCTGGTTATGTCTGAGTATTTCATTCTTGGTATTTCTGTACTCATTGTAATGCGAGTCCTCTTCGGCACCAGTTTTGTAATTTTTATTAAATTGTTTCTAAAGAAATGTTAAATATATCATATGTAGTTTAGTAGAGAATTTGATTATAGAATTTAATTTACTAAAATAGATTCACAAATATATTCACAAAGTTATACCTTATATGCTTCCCATTCCTTGTCAACGATAGCATTACTCAATGAAAGCACAAAACACATAAGTATTAAAAACTTCATTTTACTTTTATTTATATTTTCAGATGATAATTAACTGATTTTGATATTTTGTTATATCGTATAACTTATTACTGAAATTAATAAAAATCAATGAATATACATTGAATTTATAGTAAATATATGACAAAGAACTGATAGATTGTTTTGTTTATATTATGGCAGATGTTGGTTATTGCAGACTTGGCTGTTAATATCTATTGTCTAATTGATCACAAACTTAAGACCCAAAGTTTTTTTTATCATTTATCTGTCTTATGATTGATTAGACGTGTCTTTATCTATGAACTGTCAGACAAAAACTAATGTCAAACATAATACTCTCTTTATGATGATTTTGTTTATTACTAATATTAAACTATATGTTTCTTATATAATTGATGAATGATCTAGATTTATTTATCTAAAAGTTATAAATAATTATAATTATTTAGTTAACTATGAGTGAAAGTTATGAAAATGAATCAAGCTGTAGATATCCTTCAAAGATATTAAATAATAGCCAGTTTAGCCATAATTGGTATTACAACTTACTGTAAAATTTGAACCATTCCACGATTTGTTTATTTATCTATTGACCGTATCTTACTCTAATAGAAGTTTCTGTTAAGTACAATTGCTATGTATTAAAATGACACTACAAATAAATTAAACAAGTTCATTAAATTGTTCAACTAATCAAGTTCAGGTTAATTGACTTTTCATAGATTAATTAAGCACTTATATGGCACAGGTTATAGGGTCATGAACTTTATGTTTGTTTTGATTACACTAGATAAAGGTTTAATACAGATTTAATTTACAAGAATCAAATGATAGTAAAAATAGTATAATTTACTGTACAGTATACAAATAAAGGAATCTATTTGGCATTAAGTTAATTTTGACATTTAAAATTATTTGGAAACAATTTGTTTCAATATTCATTCAACGATTTGTAGACGGCGCCAAGACTGGGCCATCATTCTAGGGTTATAGGGGGATAGGGTTTGGGCTAAAAGGGATATATAAAGGGGATTATCTATTGTGTAGAGTTGAGTATTGAATGTAGAGTGCATGTGATTATTTGTGCGCCTATTTTTATATTTGTTTTAATTGTATTTAAAATTACGTTTAAATAAAACTGATTTAAACTACAAATCAGAAGTGGGATCAACTTCTTGCCTCAAGACCCGAAGACATCACCTCAAGACTGAGACCGCGAGAACAAGACGTGACCCAAAGACCACAAAGTGTCGACAGTCGAAGACTTGTGTCGCCTAAAGGGCGCCCAACTAACGGAAGTCTGCGAAGAGCTGGAGTTGGCCACGTGGGGCACGAAAGCCCGAAAGGCCACCAGAATCCTCGACAGGTTAGAGGC